TACATGCACTACGAGATTTGTGTACTGAGTATGTGTGTATAGTTCATTTTATTATAGATAAGGAGAAAGTCATTGTACCTTGTTTGGTATTTATGTTTGTCATTTGTTACAGGAATTAATAAGTAATATTTACAAGAAATTGAGATTGCATCTTGTTTTGGCATGTGTGACGGTATATCAATTCTTTTAGTTAAAATTAATGGACTATAACGTCGAACTTTTTTGCTGTAAGTTAATTGAGTTTAAAGATAAGAAAAAATATGTACGTCAATGTATTGACAAACCTGTGAGTTAAAGTCTAAATCTTTAAGTTATCAAGTAAAATAAAAAAGTTGCCATAAATAAAGCGACCTTAACTGGTAAAATAACATACAGCTTTATTACCGTGTTTGTTATTCAATTTAATTTTAACCTTGCACGTTTTGAAACTTAGCGTTCTGTCTTCCATGACATTTCGCCAATTTTCGTACCAGAAAAGTGCACAATAAGATTGTAAACACTCACAGACGCGTATCTGCCAATATTATTACAGGAAACACCACGTGTCTTCTCTTCCAAAAAGTTTGAAAGCAACTGTTTATGCTGTCCTTCCAGGCTTGCATTAATCTTCATGTACTGTGTATACAGACCAAAGAGGCCATGGGACGGATGACATTGCCCCTTTCCCGTTCCCCTGGCAGGTGATTTAATCACAATTTGTAGAAATCTTATTCTAATAACTTCTCAGTGTTGCACAATTTCTAGGCCTTTCTTACGATCCAGGTTCTAAGAAGCCATTCCTATTTCACCAACTTATGTAGGCTACATGTATATACTTAGGGTGGACATTTGCGTATGCAGTTAAGACCAATTTTATCCCGTAACAATTAAGTTACACAGTAGCTTATTACAAAGGCCTGCTAACTCATTAGTCCAGGTATATGATTCAACCCGCCAGACACAAAAGGTCAAGCACTGCCTTTTCAAAATCTTCTGCTGTAAAATTCCCTATCACAGATAACGATCGGCAGTTATATTAAGGCCGATTTTATCTCTTAACCAGGTGTGCAGCGGCTAATTACAAAGGCCTATAAAGGAAATCGACCAGGTAAATAACTCATCCTCACTGACACAAGTGGTCAGGCACTGTGGAGTATGATATCTTCGGACAAAGTCTGCCAACTTTTACATAGAAGTCAATGCGATCCGCCATGTTGCCCGATTTGTTTTACCCCAGATGCCGGTTGCTAAGGCGCGTGACGTAAGTCCGACTGTCCCTATTGTTCATTACGTGTATGTACTTGTTAATTTGTGCTATTTGTAGACCGGATAATTATCATTTTTATGCTATTTGCGCTAGTTACTCGATCCAGTATATAAAAATGATTAGAGCAAATTATTCTGTGTACAGTAGGTAAAAGGAAGGGGGGGGGGGGGGGGGCATACCGCCTCTAGCAGTATTGATAAACGGATTTCAAGACCAAATGATTCATCTGAATCTTACTTCATTTATAGATTTAAAATATATAACTCGAGTTGACTGTAACACCTGGTATTGAATATTGTCAATATTAAAAAATTAATGTAGGCAGGACATTAAAACAGCTGATTAAAATAAAGTTTACACACATAAATTGAATAATGTTTTATAAAAGGTTGACCTTCATTTACAACAGTAAGCAACCATGAGACCAATGACTCATACATGTATCATGTAGCATCAAGTGATCTTTTGATCATTTATTTCAGAAGATTCCCAAATAAATTATTTAAAAAATGAAGTACTTAGTCATCAGAGTAATGAAACATGAAACAGCTGTCTTTGCACAGTGTAATATTATATTGTTTCTAGATGCATTACTTTTTTGTAAAGTGCTATGATAAAGTTTTATCTACAACATATTTATTCCCTTATTCTTTCATATTTTAGATAATTTGGCTGTTGACAAATGTTGGCTTATTTATTGGATATTTCTTTTACTACTACAATGGAGAGAAATTCTTCTACATTAGAAAAATTGTTGGGGTAGGTATTTTCAATGTCATTTTCAGACAATTATAGATTATGGGTATTTAAATTAAGTTGTGGTTTGAGCACCAAAACCATATGTGTAAATCAGGTTATCAGTTAATGGGACATTTCTGAATTATCATATTGTAATTGTTGACCTGTAAATAATACAAGTTGCTGTTTCTTTATCTAGGAGATATGCTCCTGTAATATAAGCAACTTGAGAAAAATGTATTTGTGTACTATACATGTATATAATTATATTTTATTTCCCTTATAGCTTGGTCTTCCTTTTGCTAGAGGTGCTGCAGCTTGTTTGAACTTTAATTGTATGCTGATATTACTACCAGTATGCAGGAATTTGATATCATTTTTACGAAAGTCTTGTACAGTAAGTATCTATAGCAACATTGATAGACGTTGCTTTGTATTCACATTTTAGTATGGAGGGAGAGAGAGAGAGATGGTAGGTACAGTATAAGGCTTAACTTGATGGCACAGCCCATCACATAAAGAATCTGTCTCACATTTCATTGTAACTATTAAGAAATCAAATAATTGGGGGTTGCAATCTAGCGTCCATATCTTGCACTTTGGCTTTGATGTTTTTTTTTCACCCCTTGAAAACAAGCAGAAATAAAAATACCTTTGGTTCCTTTCAGTGCTGTAAACGAAACATGCGCCGCCAACTTGACAAAAACATAACATTCCATAAATACATAGCTTACATGATATGTTTGCACACAGGTAGGTAGATGTTATAGATGCTTTATATATTCATTTATTTTAACTAGTGCGATGTTACTAACTTTACATTGCATGTGGCTGAAAAATCAGCTAGTGTACATAACTGAAGAAAATGTATTGAACGAAATACCGGGGTTCATGTAATAATATAGATATACAAATGTAATTGTATTTTTGTGTTAAAAATGAAATGTTGCACAAACTATATGTGCTAGTTGAAAATGTGTGATGTTGGTGTTTTTCTTTGTAACTAATTATTTGTAAATGGTAGTTATAAGAAATGTTTCATTTTTTTGTTTTTTCTAGCCATCCATGCAGGAGCACACTGCTTCAATGTGGAGTTCTTTGTAGATGCACAAAGCCCTACAATAAACAAAGATGAGGCAGCACTGTTGACAGCTCTCAGTTCAATAGCTGGGGGAAATGGCACTGCAGCTATTAACCCTGTCAGGTTACCAAATGCTGTAGGTACTTAGACCCCATTCCCATACCTAGATCAATCTACAGAATCAACCCATCATCTCTGAGGGGTTCCTTGCTAAATTGCTTTCAGCTTAGGTGGCTTAGATGGCTGGCACGCCTATTGAAGCTGCTAAACGATAGTTATTTACTCCCTAACAACTGCAGTAGGCGTGCCAGACATCAGAGCCGCTTATGTTGAAAGCAATTTAGCAAAAAAAACCCT